AACCAACCAGTTAATCAATCAACCAGTCAATCAATGGATCAGTCAATCAATTAACTAAATAATCAATCAGTCAATCAGCCAATGAATCAGCAAATCAATCAATCAATCAACCTGTCAATGAATCAACCAGTCAATCAGTCAATTAATTAACCAGTTAATCAATGAATTGGTCAATCAATTAGTAAGTCAATCAATCAGTCATTCAATCAAACAGTCAATCAACCAGACAGTCAATCAACCAGTCAGTCAATCAGCAATCAGTCAATCATTCAGTCAATCTATCAATCAGTAATGAGCAAGCCATGTGGTGCAAAATCAGTTAATCTGTGTGCCTGTTCATTTATCAACACACTTACACAATATAGAGGGGAGAAAGAATCCAAAGGATGCTAACTGCTGGAAGACCTCTGAAAGAATGCTTGCAACTCTGCACAGTACAAGCCTTTCTCATCATGCTTAGTTGGTCTGTAGCAATCATGACATGAGTGTTCTGCTGATTCTCATGCCAGCGAAAAACTGCTGTGACTATACATTTCTAAAGATGTTCACAGTGAAGCAGTCATCAGAAGTTTGTTTCATTAAAGACTTACCTATTTCCAGTTTTGCTAAATCTGCTTTGATGCCAGTCCAATCCATAAAACTTTTCTGTTCCTTCTGTTTGGCTTTCAGAAACAGATTGACAGCCTCATGAAGAAACCTGGCACCATCCAGCCAACTGTTATTGTACTGAACATTCTGGAAGGAGGCTAAGGCATTCTGGTTGACTTGCCTGAGAACCGACCTGGCAGCCTTGGCATATGCAGTTCTGGAAAATATAAATATATATGGAATAATATATATGTTATATATATAACCCATTTGTTGAATGTTGAATTAAGAATCAACATCACAGCACTCGGGACACTCTCATAAGCACTCCGTCCCCCATCTTTAACAGCAAAAGAAGAGTTCCAATTCTGATGACACCAAAGGATGTTAACTACCTGGGACCTCTGAAGTGATGCAAGCCACTCTGCATGGAGCATACTTGTCTCCACCTTTCTCAATGTTCTCTGTGAGTCAGTTACAATCAAGCCAGCAAAATGCAGCAGTGACTGCCTCCACCTCCATTCTCAAACTAGACCTTGTATGTAACACATATGAAATATCAAAACAATATTTCCCCATTCTAAATTTGAACAAAAAAGACAAAAACAATAGATTGAACAATTTATTGCTTGGCATATTTCACTGCATCTCGTCAGGTGCAAACGACAGTAACAGTTACAAAAACAAAGCAAATAAGTGAATCCTTTATAACTGAAGTACAAATTCAACAACAATCAAACACAATGGCCTGTTTTACCAGGACAACCACAGTGTCAGAATCATGTCAGGTAATCAATTACACAGTCTATTGTTTGTGTCTTTGTTCAAATATTTGAAAAAAAAAATTCAAATATTTGAAACAGAAGTAACATTTTAAATAAATGACCTGAGTTGATTGGGCTGAGTTGAGTTGATTCAAGAACCGACATCATAGAACTGGGGGCATTTCCATAGGCACTCTGTCCCCATCCTAAGCAGTCAGCATAGTTCTAATAAAAATGGTACCAGTAGCAGTATGATTATTTGTCCGTCTTGCCTTTGCTTTCAGCTTCTAGTATCAGCCAGAGCCTCTCGTCACTCCTGACTGCATTTACTCTCACCAGACTGTGATGATCTGTTTGCTCCCTGAAATTGTACACATATTCCCATAACACCATAATCATGTCTGCCTTATAAAGCATCGGTAGTCCATCAAGTTGTGCAAAGCCAGCTAATTTGTCTGCCTATTCATTTCCCAACACACCGGCATACAAGAATAAAAGATCCAGACAATGCTTTTCTCTTTTTACCTTTGAAGCCAAGCATGCCACTTTGCATGAAACATGCCTCTCCTCACATTCCTCACTATGCTTTTTGAGTCAGTTAGAATCATGATGTGTGTCTCTAGCCAGCAGAAAGCTGTAATGACCACAAACAACTCTATTTTTTTTAGCTGGATGTTGTGGTATCATATGCTAGGCTTGAACTGTTCTGCCTGAACAGCGAGCTGTAAATGCCCATACACTCTTATGTCCTCATATAACGGACCCGTCTGTGAAGATCAGCACATATGTCTCATTTGACTTGTCACTGATAAGTGCGCATACCTCAGTGTTGAAAGCAGCGGGATTCTGCTCCCAAAAACTCCTATCAAGCATCATGACACAGGAGAACGTGAGATTGGGTGCTATAGATGCTGGTATCCATTCCTCACCATATTAGTGGCGGCCAGGACCCTCATTGCTGACAGGCCTTTGCGTGCTTTTATTATAACATGGTCAACATGTTCTTTGAAGGACAGGCTGGATCAAATCCCATTCTGAGGTCCGTCATCAGATTTGTTCTCATCAAAATTTCCCCGCTGCTTTCCACTGCTGACAAGTCTGCCATCACTATATGCGTGTTAAAGGAGAACCACGTTACTGAGGCCTTCAAAGGGTTGACATGAGCTTTAGAATCTACACACCAGGAGAAGATGTGATCATTCTGCATTGAATTGGCAATCTCTAAATGATCTCTTCCATGTTGGTATACCAAGAGGTCATCAGCAAATAACAAGATCCTGCCACTCTCGTACAATTGTTGCTCAGTTACCAGCACTGTGTACACACTGAATATAACTGGAGACAGCGAAGAACCTTGAGACAATCCTGGACTGATGGTTATCGGTTCGAATCTTCTAATGCCAGCCTGCACTGTACATTTGTTTTTAAATAAATACCTAGACAGAAGGTCAAACCAGCTTAAGGTTAGTTAGTCTTTTCTCTTGAGCCTAGGGCAGCTTATAGGGCAGAGGTCATAGCTCTCCATGTCTGGCCATTCCTTGCTACCTGTTTTAGGACTTAGATGTTTGTTAGGCCCATGGTTAAGCCTTCCCTAATGATTGATCTATGTGTGCTAGTGGGAAGAAAAATAAGGAAAAAACACAGAAGTAGAGATAAAGGAAAAATTGTGATTAGGACAGAAGTAATAGTTCCCCGTTAAAACAGCAAAAACAGGAAGGTAAAGAAAAGACAAGGGGTTCTTCTGGGCAGAGATCCTAATATTTCACCAGAACTCAGACAAAGAATATCTGTATCGTGAGTTACATGACAACAACCTAATATATTCTACTGAACTGAACACAGAATTAACGTATACTTCACAAATAACATCATTAACAACAACCAACATGCTTGAACTAAGGCAGAATCTAAAGTGCTAATCATCTCCAGCTAACAAGGAAATATGATAATGATATCATACGCTCAGCGAGATTACATCAACAATGGCAAAAACCAACATGTACATTAGGCTTCAATATGCCACTATACTAACAAATCACTTATAGCGATCTGCCATCCTAGCAAGAATACATCCCGAAATATTACACAGTATAACTACTAGAGACTACTATTTCAGGACTAAATATGGAAACATACCACCGCTGTGAAATCAGCCTGACAACCGGTTTTCCCCTGCAGTTCCCCCATACCCATGCTGGCTAGCCCAATGTTCAAAGCTACAACAGCTGGGTAGGTCTCCACAGGGTGCGTCCGGAAGTCAAATAGACAGCTACTGAATGAGTTGGCTTTTTGTATACCCAGTGGCCAGACTTTTTCCTATTTTTAAACCAGAATCATCAAGGTGTCCGCCAACGAAACCAAAATCGACAAGCTGCTGAACAGCAGTCTTTAGCATTCTCCAGCCTATTACATATGCACAGTCTCTTTTGGTCTTCCCTGTTTTCTTTTCCCTTCCGGTGTAGGCTACAAGGGGATTGATGGGGGAGTCTGGTCTTATCCATTCGGAATGCATGGCCAATCTGGTTCCAGTGGCACTTTCTTATAAAACTGGATATATTATCTTGCTTGGTTTCTTGTTTTATTTACATATTGGATATAATATCTGCCCAGTGGAGAACCAGTATTCTTGTAAGAGATCTATCTAAGCAGGTAGATAAGTTGGCTGGAACCCTCTCCCACTTTCCATTTGGGGGTGTACTGCAACTGCACAATGTAGAGGTTATCTCCCACCTGTGGGGGTGTGGTAAGAAGTCAAATAAAAGATACTGAAAACCTGCACTTGGATAGAATGGCACAGCAGGGATTGTCTTCTTGCTCTGAGCGACACTTGAGACTCAGGAAAAGTGCAAGATGAGTAGTTAACCACATGACAATGGATAAAGCCTCTTCTCTGGCTGTTCAAAAGAATGAAGGGGCTAATATGGGCTTGTCCTGGATGCTGGATTGTTGAACCTTAACCCGAATGAACCCTGGGTATATAATTATTCACAACTAGTACTTAGTTGGTAGGGTCTATATTTGCTGCCATCAGCATCTGTGGCTTAGGTGTTGTGAATGTACTTTGCAATTCCAAGGTGTCAGGTTTATTCCCAGCTGTGGATGATTTGACAGCACACTATCTTGTGCTGGTTTTGATAGTAGTATTGAGAGACACTATTTAAGGTCAATGTCAAACTATTGAATGCAAAATTGCATTGTGAAATAAAAAACAGCCCAAAAAAAAAAAAATGCTAAGATTGGTTCTGCAATGCCCTGAAAAAAAACCCAAGGATAAACAATTAATAATAATTACTGTCACCACATTACAAATGAATGGTTCGTCATAAAATTATACAGCAAATTACAAATATGAACCTTTTTTAACTACAGAGAAAAGGGAAACAAATGCAATGGTAGGGACATGTAATAAGATCTAACAGCCTCTCTAAAACAATACTGCAGGGCTCAGTAGAGGAAAAGAGTAGAAGAGGCAGATCAAGAAAGACCTGGTTACAGAATCTGACTGAATGGACAGGCATGCAACCATGAAGTCCATCACAACTGACCGCCAAAAGTGGAGAGAGCTGATCAGACAGTCAACAGAAACTAGTGACCCAAAGACACGTAGTGTTATGGGATAATGATGATGATGATGATGAATAATTACTGTCACCTGAAATGGTCCAAGTCTTTCATTAGTTTCTCTCTCACATGCAGTTTCTGCTGACTCAAGAGTAGGTCCAACCGGTTGCGTTCAAAAACATCCTTTGTTGAATCCAAAAGTGATTGATGGAACTAGAGAAATAAAATGCACATTTCAGCCTGAAGTTTCTTAAGCTCACCAGTATATAATTTAAGCAAAATATAGGAATCATCATCATCAAGTGTCTTGCCATCTGGCGGGGATGATCATGTCTCTCCACAATCTGTGATTTTCAAAAGCATGTATCAGTTTGTGTTCAGAATCTCCTCCCTGACATGACAAAAGGCCATCAAGAATTGTCTCACATTGTCTTTCTCTGTCTCTTTTTCTAAAGATATTTCTAGGGGTTACAACATCTTCCAGTTTTCTTCTTCTAAAAACATGATCCAAAACAAATTGATGAATGTCTCTTTTTGATCTTCTTCTTCTGTGTGTTCACCGGCTGTAAACTCTGGCAGAAAGTTCTGGTTGTTCAACTACTAATGGACTGCAGTCCTGTTTCAGAACCTGAGTGTTGCATGTGCATCAGTTTGACAGATCTGACTCATTTGTGTGCAGAATATTGGTATTGCCTCTCAGGCAGATACACTCTCGAAGGAAGCTCCCAATTAGTCGACTCTTACGACTTTCTTTTGGGTAAGCAGTGGGTCTATTCTTGTTTTCCTTATAACAGGGCCCTGGAACCCACAAGGGGATTTTATGCTTCTAATAAGCTATCTTCGAGCACTCATCTCTTTCAAAGCATCTGAGTTGCTCTATTTTGAACGTCCAATGAATTCTAAGGATTCTTATGTAAAAAAATCACATCTCCAAGGCCTCAAGAAGTTGAAAACAAGAATACAATGTGTAAAAATTGCAAACTGGCAACAGCTATGAAATTTAAAAAAAAATATTTTCAAGTGACCCCTAGCTACCCTGGACAGCTGGGTACAGCAAGGTAATACTCATAGCCAGGTACCCCAATATAATCATTCTAAAATGTTGGAAGATACAGTCATAATTTTTGGGCCATGTTATGAGATGAAAGGAACCAGAAGATATTGTGACAGCTGGAGATATTTGGAGATAGAGGTTGAGGAAGACAAACGTGATCAAGTAAAAACATTGCATCAGAGGAAAGAAGTGAATCAAGCTAGACAAGTAGTGAAATGGTATCTTCAGATCAACACCACTGGAACAACTGACAGAAAAGCAGCAAGAGATCACTTGTGAATATCTTATGTGTTAACAGCAACATAATGAAGATATAGGTAGACTTACTTCCATGGCTAATAAACAGAATAAATCAGTTAAATTCACTGAAACTATGTTATATTTTGTTTTTTAAACTGACAATTTTTGTCAAATTTGTTCAAATCTGACATCAGTTTTCTCACCTTTTTCAAATCTGACACAATTTTTCTCATATCCTGCATGCAGATTTTCTGAGATGCATCGGCAAGTAAATCTTGTCTGTTTATTTCCCCTTCAAGGTGGCGCTGCAGCTGTAACAGCTCAATATGGCTAGAGGCTGTATTCATAGCCCCTAACTGACCATGGCTCATTACAAAATTGACATGATGGCTATGACGAAAAGAAAGTAAATAAAACATTTGAGAATGTTATTAAAAGGGGATACAATTAAAAAAAAAATTTGATACATGGTTCTGAAAAGTCTAGGAAAGAAAAGAATGACATTAGTTTTTTTTTAAATGTTAAATGTTGAATGCTGCATTAAGAATCGACATCACAGCACTCTGGACACTCCCATAAGTGCTTAGTCCCCATCTTCAGCAGCAAGCGAAGAGTTCCAATTCTGATGGTACCAGTAACCGTCTGATTGTTTATCCGTCTCATCCTTACCCTGAGTGTTAAGTGTCGGCCAAATCCCCTGGTAACTCCTCAAGCGCCATTCTCCTTAGACCGTAATGCCCATCCGCACTGTTTAATCGCTTCCAAAGGGCCCTCACAATATCTAACTTGTCCTACTTCAATTTACCACTAAGTGGTGCAGAACCAGCCAGTCTATCTGCATGCTCATTTTCCAACACATCAGCATGACCGGGAGAAAATATCCAAAGGATGCTAACTATCCGGGACCTCTGAAGTGATGCTTTAAAATTTTTTTTAAGGCAAGTGAAATATTTTGGCTATATTAACAGACATGAATCTCACATAAAAACCATACTCAAGGAAAAAGCTGAAGACAAATTAGCAAAAGGTAGACAGCAATACAAATAGGAAGATAACATTAAGAGATGGACAAACAGCAATGTGAAACAGTGCAAGATGAAATTCAGAGCATTTTGGAAAATCATAGCAGCAGACCTGCCTTGTGGCGGCAACTGATTGATTGACAATACAACATTCAAATTGTTAATTAATTTGGGCTAGTAGTCATGTCAGTTATATACTTCAGGGGCTCATAAGGGAAGCTCAGTAAAACAGTAACACTGAAATCTGGAAAGCATGCCATAAGAGGCCATGAAGGCAGGTCAACATGAGACTGGCTGCCTCATCCTGAAAAAAACTTTGGCCACAAATGCAACCTGTCATGATAAAAATGATGTGGGTGAGAACCTATGATTCATTGGAAAATGAAAGGCAGTAGTAAGAGCAGAAGTAGAAAAAGAAGAAGATGATGATACAAAGAAAAAGAGGAATAATAATAATAATTATCATTAAAAAAAGCAGCAGAAGGAGGAGGAAGAGGAGGAGGGGAGGAGGAGCAGCAGCAGCAGAAGAAGAAAAAGAAGAAAAAGAAAAAAAGAAGAATGACGAGGAGGAGAAGGAGGAAGAAGAAGAAAGAAGAAGAAGAATGAGAAGGAAGTGAAAGGGGGGGGGGGGGGGGCAGCAGCAGAAGAACAAGAAAAAGATAATGATTCTGAATAACTATTAAAATTTTAACAATTGTGTGCCATCTCCACAATGAAGGTTGCCTACAGTGCACCCACAGCTGTCATTGAAAATGTTACAAGGTGAGAATCTCATCTCTTCCAGAGTGTGACTCTCATACTACAGTCAAAACCCACAAAATGAATTTTATTGTGTCCACAGCAGAAACTGAACCCCAGTACTTGGGGATCATGAAATTGTTAAATACATTCACTAACTTCTAAGCTAAATGAATAATTAGTATCTCCCAATATACTTGGGAACAGAGATGGTGTAGAGGCAAGATTCTCGCCTGTGCTTCCAAAGGTTGTGGGTTCAGGTCTGGACGGAGCCAGACTTTTTTGTTTAAAAAAATGATCGTGGTCAATCTGACCTTAAATGGGTTTAGAGTAAACATGGTGGCCGGCGTAATGTTGACCACATAACCCACTGAGTGCTAATTTGACTATAAAATATAGGTCTAGCCCTATATGCCCAATATGCATAAAGATGTGGAAAAGAGTTCTTTACAATTTACTTGAGAACTTGCTGCAGTACCCCAGAATACTACGCCACACACTTTCAGACTAGTATGGCTAAATCATGTAATACAATATGATTTTATATGACAATGTATAAATAGCAGTTTATTTTAACAGAAAAATTAAGTCAGCATTAAAACTTCTGCCACTATGGATTACCTGGTAATGACAGTCAAAATCAGGAAGAACATAGTTCCCGATACAAAAGCACTGTAAGCAAACTGAAACATCATGTAGCCTGTAGCAAAGAAGGGATGATACCAGCGAGCATATGGAGTGTCTGGCATTGGCAAAGCTGAAAGAAGGAACAGTACATCTTTTTTAATCATTGGCAGTTAATTAGAGGGATAAATAATTAGAGATTCTAAGATCTTCTTTCTTCTTCTTCTTCTTCACGTACTCTGGCATAAAGTTCTGGTTGTTCATCCACTTCAAAACCTAAATGTTGCGTGTGCATCCATTTGACAGATCTGACTCATTTGTGTGCAAACTGTTGGTTCATTGCCTCTCAAGCAGATGCACTCTGATTTCAAAGAAAGCTCCCAATTAGTCGACTCTTATGACATGCTTTTGGGGAGGCAGTGGGCCTATTCTTGTCTTCCCTATAAAAAATAAAAAAGGTGCTGGTGAATCGTCTAGAAATGCTAATGAATCATGAGGACCAGAAATAACATTACCTGAAGGCAACTCCCCTTCCAAATAACGTTCACTGTTTTGTAGGGTGTTTTTTTCCATGCAAAAGTTAAACTTCCTTTTAAAATTGTATTTATGCAGACCACCAGTATATTCAGGCCATTCAATTCAGGATGAGTAAACCTCTGTACATTTATACTCTAATTACAAACACTGGGAAGTAAAGGCAGCTAGCGTGGTGCTGACCACATCACCCACAAAGTGTTGATTGGTAAATATATGTCTTACCCTATATGCCTTAAGGCATGGAAAAGGGTTATTTACTTACTTTTACTTATATATATATATATACATATATATCATCATAACCACTTCTGTCGTTAAGCGCCGTGGGGAGGAATAATTTGCGGTCCAGTGCACGTTGGCTGCCACTGGCTATTGTCATGCCGTGAAGGTGTAGAGTGTCTTTAATGTTGTCGATCCATAGTTTCTTTTGCTCTTGTAGCTGATCTTCTGAGATGTAGTGCTTGTGATGGTATTTGATCTTGCTGCATTCTAACTAGATGGCCAAACCACTTAGATCTGCTGTTTCTGAATGAATCTAGTACAAGGGGTTGTTTCCACAATTTGCCTGATAGTTTCATTATTCACTCGATCTCGGATGGTTGGTGGCTTTTCTCAGGCACCTCATCTCGCAGGTAGTGATTTTGCGTACATGGGCTTTAGATAGTGTCAATGATTGGCACTGGCAGCTTAATGTTGAAATGAATATGCTCTTAATAATCAGTCTCTTTGCACTCACAGAGACAGATTATATATATAAATATATTTAAATAATAATATTTAGCAAGATCTTTTAATTTACCTGGCTGGAAGCACAAACCAAGGATGGCCAATACAAGGAGCAACAGAATGCAACCACTTAACATCAGTAGATATGGAAATGCTAATGGCAGATTCATCATGTCTTTAGCCTGATTATTGTTACCATCTTCTTTCTTCTCTCTCTCCTCTCTAACAGCAAAATGTGCAGACATGTCAACTGTTACAGTTTTAGCTGCAAGATGACAAAAGTAACTGGGCAATTAATTATATGTAAATTTTCTTTACAATTCTAACACACAAATTTATAATAAAGTTATTGCTTAATAATATAATAACAAATGTTAATCAACAAAATTATTTCTATGTTTTATGTTTCATTGTTTATATATCTAATTCATTAATATAATTAATGAAAACCAGATTATACATGTAAATATGGAAAACAAGAAACTGTAAATTAAATTTTCAGGAATAAGTTACAAGTCACAACATTAGATTTTTCATTACTTTGAAGCCCCACCATGGCTTTAGCCAGGGGCTGCAAAATAACCTGACAATTGAACACGGTTTCTGGGACCTCTCCATGGGTGATCCTCATCCTCTTGGTGACCCTTTGTGCAGCCAGGTGTTTACTTACTTACTTACATTTGATTTATAGTGGGATAGGAAACTGTATACCAGTGCTTGAACAGAACAGCTTGGTATATTACTTCAAGGATAGAAGGAAGTTAAAGTTCAACAAGTAGACAAAAAAGAAAAAAAAATAATATAAGCAGTAGACTTAATAAAAATATTGCATGGTTGTGATGGTTTGAGAAGTATAGTTAAACTACTGCATTCCAGGCACAACACTAATAGGATTTCTTTTAAAGAAGAGATTGGAAGGAAGACAAGGAGGAGAAGAAGAAAAAAAAAGAGGAAAAAGAAGAAGAACAAAAGAACAAGAATGAGGAGGAGGAAGACCAGAAGAAGAAGAAGAAGAAGAAGAAGAAGAAGAAGAAGAAGAAGAAGAAGAAGAAGAAGAAGAAGAAGAAGAAGAAGAGAGGTGGGGGGGGGGAGAAAAAACAAGGAAGAGGAAGAAGAGGAAATAAGGAAGAGGAAGAAGAAACAAGGAAGAGGAAGAAGAAACAAGGAAGAGGAAGAAGAGGAAACAAGGAAGAGGAAGAAGAAACAAGGAAGAGGAAGAAGAGGAAACAAGGAAGAGGAAGAAGAAACAAGGAAGAGGAAGAAGAAAAAAGAAAGAGGAAGAAGAAACAAGGAAGAGGAAGAAGAAACAAGGAAGAGGAAGAAGAGGAAACAAGGAAGAGGAAGAAGAAACAAGGAAGAGGAAGAAGATGAAATAAGGAAGAGGAAGAAGAAACAAGGAAGAGGAAGAAGAAACAAGGAAGAGGAAGAAGAAACAAGGAAGAGGAAGAAGAGGAAACAAGGAAGAGGAAGAAGAAACAAGGAAGAGGAAGAAGAGGAAACAAGGAAGAGGAAGAAGAAACAAGGAAGAGGAAGAAGAAACAAGGAAGAGGAAGAAGAAACAAGGAAGAGGAAGAAGAAACAAGGAAGAGGAAGAAGAAACAAGGAAGAGGAAGAAGAGGAAACAAGGAAGAGGAAGAAGAAACAAGGAAGAGGAAGAAGAAACAAGGAAGAGGAAGAAGAAACAAGGAAGAGGAAGATGAGGAAATAAGGAAGAGGAAGAAGAAACAAGGAAGAGGAAGAAGAAACAAGGAAGAGGAAGAAGATGAAATAAGGAAGAGGAAGAAGAAACAAGGAAGAGGAAGAAGATGAAATAAGGAAGAGGAAGAAGAAACAAGGAAGAGGAAGAAGAAACAAGGAAGAGGAAGAAGAGGAAACAAGGAAGAGGAAGAAGAGGAAACAAGGAAGAGGAAGAAGAAACAAGGAAGAGGAAGAAGAAACAAGGAAGATGAAGAAGAAGAAACAAGGAAGAGGAAGAAAAAGAAACAAGGAAGAGAAAAAAGAAGAAACAAGGAAGAGGAAAAAGAAGAAACAAGGAAGAGGAAGAAGAAGAAACAAGGAAGAGGAAGAAGAAGAAACAAGGAAGAGAAAAAAGAAGAAACAAGGAAGAGGAAAAAGAAGAAACAAGGAAGAGGAAGAAGAAGAAACAAGGAAGAGGAAGAAAAAGAAAAGGATATGAAGAGGGTGCAGAATGAGAAGGTTTAGAAAAAGTAGCAAGAGGATGAGGAAAAAAGATGGAGAAGAAAGAGAAGAGAAGAAAGAGGAGGAGGAGAAGGTATAGAAATAGTAGCAAGAGCAGGAGGTAAATAAGAGGGAGAAGAAAGAAATGAGAAGAAAGAGAAGGTATAGAAATAGAAGCAAGAAGAGCAGGTAAATAAGAGGGAGAAGAAAGAGAAGAGAAAAAGGAGGAGGAAGAGAAGGTATAGAAATAATAGCAAGAACAGTAAGTAAATAAGAGGGAGAAGAAAGAGAAAATAGGAGAAGGAGGAGGAATAGAAGGTATAGAAATAGTAGCAAGAAGAGGAGGTAAATAAGAGGGAGAAGAAAGAGAAAAGAAGAAGGAGGAACAGTGGCAGGTACTGATGATTTAAAATTTAAAAAGATGGTTAAAATGTAATGTAAAAAAATATGACTTACATTCCATTTCATTATCTATATCTTCTGTAATATCCTCCTTCAGAGATGTCTTCCTGTAAATTCTGAAATGATTCACTCCCTTCTGGTCTGTGACAGCAATGATTATATCCTTGTGTAAACCCAGTTTGTCCGTACTTGGCAAGGCAAAAGTAATGGAGAATCTTGAAGGACACAATATTGCAGCATCACAGTCAAACAGAATCTGAGAGGAGTAGTGTGGATCCAGCAGTGCAATGTGAAGAAAACCTGGAAAGGTCAACAATAATATTCATTCAGGGCTATGCAATTCACCATGTTTTTAAGTTCCCCTTTTATAATTTGTAATTATTAATTTATGTAGTCTAAAAATTGATACCAAAGGAGATCTTTTTAATACAGTATTTTCACTAACATTATATTACTAGAACCAAACGTGGGCATTACCAACAAAAGGAAAAACAACAAATGAGACATCTATGACCAGGTCAGGCAGCTAAGTGACCCCAGCATTGATTGCCTGCTGTTTGAAACTGAACCTTCATTCACTGATGAATTTCAATAGATTTCACACCTTCACTGATTTAAAAAAAACAAAAACAAAAAACAATGGAACAACGCAACGGTATGGTTATTGTAATTTCTATTACTTTTACGTTTTTCATCTGAAGTCCTCTGGATAACCAGACACGCATGCACTTCATAATCAGCCGCTGTTTTCACACCAACATCTATGTCAGCATCACAAAGATGTGCCTCTGTGGTTTAGAGGTTAGTGAATGTGTTTCACAATTTCATGTTTCCTCAAGTACTTGGTTCAAATTCTACAGTAAACAGTTTGAAAAAAAAAAAACTTATGGTTTTTGGACAGCAGTACAAGAGGCACACAATGGAAATAATCAGCAATAATGTAGTATATCACTTACCTGGACACTTCAGAGTTTCTCCATGAACACTAACCAGCCAGTGAGTGGAGTTCTGGGTAAGATCACTGGAAAAACTGTTCACATTCAAAGTCACGGGTGAGAAAAGTTTCTTCAGGATAGACAAGCCACGGGGCAGTGTTGCCAAGACAAGGGGATCTTGCGCTTTGCTGGTGACAACAAAAGGAACAGAGCCATTGGCGACAGCTTCAAGTCTCTGGTTGTAGATGTAAGGGTTTTCCATGTTTGATGCCAGCAGCATGCTGTTCAGTGCAGTGTGGGTGCACTCTTGGTGGGCTAATGAAAGAGTATTCAATATTTTAGAGAGGATGTAAATATGTTTGAAATTCTAGATTCTTCTTCTTCTTCTTCTTCTTCTTCTTTACGTTCACCAGCTGTAAACTCTGGCGGAAAGATCTAGTTGTTTATCCACTTCTGGAGTACAGTCCGTTTCCAGAACCTGAGTGTTGTGTATGCATCCGTTTTACAGTACTGACTCATTTGTATGCAGACTGCTGGTTTGTTGCCTCTCAGGCAGATGCACTTCAACTTTGAAGGAAGCCCCCAATTAGTCGACTCTTATTTCATGCTTTTGGGTAGGCAGTGGGTCTATTCTTGTTTTCCCTAAAACAGGGCCCCAAAACCCACTCAGGGAATTCTTGAAACTGTATTAATTCTTCTTCTTAACTTCTTCCTCTATTCACCACAGTTTAGTATTGGGTTACGATATAAGAAACATTTAAAAAAAAACTTTTTCAGTCCCAGGGTATTTAGCATGAGAGGCCCAAGGGGGTGGTAAAGGGAGACGTAAAACTGGCACATTTTGCATTCACTGGCTTTCTAGGAAGGAAACTATGAATGTATGATGCATTCCTTGGAACTGAAAGAGTTAAATTTGTTCCCTTCCAGGATTTCCTTTCACTGAAATGTTTGCAGCTAGTTAGTTAGTTGCAATTACCTATTTTTTAAAACTGTGTTGAATATATTAGGCGATTTTACACTCAGCAGTTTTCCCACTGCTTTCTGAACAGGTGGGACTCCGTACCACTGATGAAATAGGCATAAAGCTGCCTGCTGCTAAACTGCTACAACTGGCTTGAGTCAAACTGCATTTTGGAATGAAATGCATTCGCATGACCTAAGTAGTAGTAGAAGTGAGTTCTCAAAAATATCCTGTTCAACCTTCAGGGTAATAACTGGGATATACAGTGTTAATTAAGTTCTCAGAGTATACATTTGTTAATATTAAATTAATACATCATGTAATTACTTGTTCGAATAAAATGCAATTTGTATAGCTTCACATTTTGCTTTGATTTGGGCTGTCTTCTTCTTCTTCTTCGCGTTCACCAGCTGTACACTCTGGCGTAAAGTTCTGGTTGTTCGTCCACTTCTGGACTGCAGTCCTGCTCCAGAACCTGAGTGTTGCGTGTGCATCAGTTTTACAGATCTGATTCAATTGAATGTAGACTGCTGGTTCCTTGCCTCTCAGGCAGATGCACTCCGACTTCAAAGGAAGCTCCCCAGTTAGTCGACTCTTACAACATGCTTTTGGGGAGGCAGTGGGTCTATTCTTGTTTTCCCCACAATAGTGCCCCGGAACCCACACGGGCTGTGATTTTGATAGAAATTGTACTATAAGGAAATGAAAGTGCTGATTTTCTGACTACAAAAGCCAAAGCTACGGGAACACTTGTACTGGACAAGGAAGATATTCTGAAGACCATATTTGAACAAATGCTGGCAGAAGACATGAGATTAAATGAAATAACATGTGCAAGAATGTGTGAGCAAGGAATTGCATGGAGACGGGAACAGTTAGCATCTACACCTTTTAAGACATCTGCTGCGGGAGACGGAGCATCTATATGTATGCCCAGTGTGCTATGATGTTGATTCTTTAATCAGTTATCAGTAATCAGTACTATGAAAAATCAGACACTGACTATGAATAATTAGACAATCTTAATAGCAGTGTCATTAACATGGTAGATATAGTGTTTCCTTAGTGTGCAACCACTGATTATTCTACTCAAATTTATCTTTAGGGGAAACTACTTCAGAGATGCTATAGGTATTCTGTACCCTTCTGTATACTGATTTTAGTCCTAGTAATAAATTTCTTGACCTTGCCACGCAACTCTCTGGGGCTGTCTACGTGTAGCAAGTTTTCCATCATCATAGGTAATTTAAGACCTAAGTCAATGCTGCTTGCAGTACAGCTGCAATGCTTACACCTTTCAGTAGTTAGTAGTAGTAATTTTTTAAAGACATTCTGTTCAACCCTCATGGTTATAATTCTAATATTTAGTAAATCACCATATTATTTCTTTACCGGTTCACTATTTTACTTTGATATTCTGTATAACCTTTGTGTGTGTGTGTGTGTGTGTGTGTGTGTGATTCATCCATCTTGTCTTTTACCTCTGCATTGCGATCAAAGTTAATAATTCAGTCATCACTTTATTAATTTAATGACTCTGCCTCTCAGACAGTGTTTATTATATCAGCTTGATTTATTGCTAGACTATACTGAATTTAGTGTATCCAATATGCAGAGTTATGTAATATGACTGTTTACAATTTTATTAATATAAAAAAATTTTTTTTAGTATAAAAAAACAACAACTGGTAGACAAATAAACATAATATTGAACAACCCCCCAGCCCCTTCCTTTTTTTTCTTCTTCAAAATAGCAACAAAATACATTCAGTCCCTAACCAAGAATGCAGGAATACAACTAATTATTACCTCCTGGCATGGCAGGAACTCCATGCGGATCTGCAGGCCTAATGAACACAAAATCTGGTCTAATAGCAGATGTTCCAAGTTGAGATCCATGGGATTTGTATGTCCCAACTTTAAATATACCACTCTGAGGATTGGTTCCTCCTTCTAGAAAATTTGGAACTATTCCCAAGCTTGAGTTGACTGTAATATCAAGAATTCCATCACTGGAAAAAAAAATTATAAACTATTTTAAAATAAATTTATATAAAAAAAATTATAGCAATAAATTTAGCAAAGAACACAGGCTTTGACAAAAATTATTATGAATAAATGTGAAAAATGTGACATCTATGCATACAAAAATAATTTTGTGGCAGGCATAATTTACATGCTAGTAATTTAAAATGAATAGAATCTATTGTTATTCTAGACAGTTATAACAACAATCACTTCAGCAAAATTTTCACTTAAACACCTTCTATTATAGAATTTGTTGCTTTGATCCACTATGATCTTTTCACTTTTTTAGGAGTAATACTCAATTCTGTTGGCGTCTGTGGCTTAGGCGTTGCGAACGCGCTTCATAATGCCGGGGTGCCATGTTCGATCCCAGCTGCTGGCCTTGCGCCTTGCATTGGTTTCAACAGTGTTATAGAGAAGCCGACCGTCCAGAAAGCAATGGCAAACTACTGGATGTAAATTTGCCTCCTAGAAAAACCAAAACAGCCAAAAAATGCTGAGTATGGTTTTGCAAAGTCCTGTAAAGGATACACAACGAAATTTTAATGTCAATTCTGGCTTATCCAGCATTAAATGAAACAGTCTAGAGTTAGTTTGCTGGTTGGGTAACTGACTGATTGGTTGATTGTGAATCCTCTGAAAAACTAAAGACTAAGTTTAAAATTGGAATTCTGAGGCAATGACATTAAACCATGAAAAGGGCATGCATCTATTAGAGTGAAGCTGGTGTCATGAAATTCTTCCTAAAACAATTCAGATCATAAAACAATCTCCGCCTCCTCCATCCCCTCTTCCACTACACCACCTACTCCTCCTTTTCCTTTATTCGCCCTTAAAGAAAACAGCATGCTGTGTTGTAGTTTACATAAAGCTGCAAAATCTTTTGGCTCAACACATCTGCATAAGGCAAACCTCTATTTGGTCACTTTTCATGAATTGCTTGCTGGGAGGGGAAGGGGGAAATGACTATTCTTTTTCCCACCAAAATGGGCCCTGAAACCTACATGGGGTATACATAAATATTTTATGCACAAGCTAGAGGCAGACAGCATATCTCTATGGCCAGACGCTGATTCTGAAATAAGGGCCCTAATTTATAAGCACACTCGACGGTCAACATCATCGGCTTTAAAATGGCTCACTGATTCTTGGGGTGCTATCTGGGTGTGCATACATAGCACAAGTGAATGGTGAGACAATATAAGTAGAAAGTATTGCGTTTAGTTCAGCTGCTTTTAGTACAACAATTGAGATAGCACCTGTCATAGGGGCACTTGCTTGGCTCCCTGAACAGAAAGCAACTCATGCATTGATAGTCACATGCTCGTTAAGCATACTTAAAAAGTTGAGTTGAGTCAAGAACTGACATCACAGCACTCGAGGCATTTCCATGCATGTTCCATCCTCATCTACAGCAGCCAGTGCAGAGTTCCAATACTGATTGTACCGGACACAATCTGGTTATATGTTCATCTTGCCTTTCCTCTGAGTGTATTGAGCCGGCCAGACCCTCTAGCTACACCCAGATGCCTCATTCTCTCCAGGCAATAATCATATATAAAAAGATAATCATATGACTGACTGACCTGTATTGCATGGCCCCCGTGTCTTCCCATGTCTTGTCCCCATAGATCAAGACTTTGCTAACATGTAGTGGTTCTAATGAAGCTTCTGCATGTACAGAGTAATCTAATTCTAGTAGGTGTTGGTGACGTGATGGTCCAATAGGACAAAAGAAACGGCCATCTTGACTACTGTCCCATGAAGGTTCCATTGTAAATTCTAGTAGATTGCCTTTGGAACACCTGGCAGAAAACATAATGAGTTGGCATCATGAGAAGAATGCAAATAACATCATAGAACCATAGAAAAACAATCAGAACATCATAGAACAATAGAAAAACAATCAGAACATCATAGAACAACAGAAAAACAATCAGAACATCATAGAACCATAGAAAAACAATCAGAACATCATAGAACAATAGAAAAACAATCAGAACATCATAGAACAATAGAAAAACAATCAGAGCATCATAGAACAATAGAAAAACAATCAGAGCATCATAGAACAATAGAAAAACAATCAGAACATCATAGAACAATAGAAAAACAATCAGAGCATCATTGAACAATAGAAAAACAATCAGAGCATCATAGAACAATAGAAAAACAATCAGAACATCATAGAACAATAAAAAAAAAACAATCAAAACATCATAGAACAATAAAAAAACAATCAGAACATCATAGAACAATAGAAAAACAATCAAGACAGCTTTTCTGCAAGTGAGATCCTTTTGTAAAGTCCTTGGCGCGTGCGTGCGTGATTGTTTGTGTAGGTTTATATACATACACACACACACACACACACACACACACACACACACACATATATATATATATATATATATATATATATATATATATATATATATATATATATATATATATATATATATATATATATATATATATATATATATATATATACATACATCATACAGATCACATCATGAATAATGAAGTTCAAAAATTGAATATAAAGGTGTTTTTGACAAGGTAAACATTAATTGTTATGTTCAATGTTACAACTGAGTTAAGTTGAGTCACGAATTGACATCACAGCACTTGGGGACATTCCCAGTGTTTGCTCCGTCCTCACCTTCAGCAGCCAGCACAGAGTTCCAGTATTGATGGTGCCGGTGACAATCTGGTTATTTGTCTGTCTTGCGTTCCACGTTTCATTATAATACATAATTTTTCAGGTTGTGATTTGTAATATAATTTTATTTTATTAACTCATCAAGTGCTAGAATGTTTCACAGAAAATGTCTACAGGATCAAATAACCAGTATCAACAAAATCTCAAGTGCATATATTTCAAATCGGTTAAATACACTGCAACAGACCATTGCAGAAATAAGATTTTTTTGTGTATTGAAAATGTGTATCTAAAAAAAAAGAATGTTGAATTAAGAATCTACATCACAGCACTCAGGAAACTCTCATAAGTGTTCAGTCCCCATCTTCAGCAGCAAGCGGAGAGTTCAAATTTCACTGGTACATGCATCTTACATATGTAGGATTTATAGGACAGAGTCATTCACAAGACATACATTGATTGAAATTAAAAGATTTCTTTATCTCCTTCTTTGTTTACCCTTAATTTTTTAAAGACATATCACCAGTATACTGGCAAATAAATGTATCCCTATAGATGTATTGTCAGTATATTGGAGTAGGATAGAGACACTCTAATTGTATTCCATTTGTGGGGAAAACAAACTTTTATGAACAAGTTTTTGAACAATTAGGATTCACATCAGGAAGTCCTTTCGTTTGCGAAGTTCATCATGGTCAGTGCCAAATTTCCCATTTAAAAAAAAATCTTTTTATATGGGATACAAGCTTTAAGTAATTTGTCTATACTAAATGATAAGGAAAAAGGTCTAGAGCTGTTCATACTGCTCTGTCGTTGATGAATCTCTGCCAGATGGTGACAACAGTCTTGATATTATGATTGATATCTAAGTGACAAACCTATTGGCGATAACTTAGATTAGGATATGAAAATTGAACAAAATATTTCACTTGGATCAATGTTTTAATCAGCTATTTTCCCAATTTTCGGTTGTTGTGAAATTTGACAAATACAAAAATGATCATAACATCCAAAGTATTTAAATTAATTGTTTCAAATAAAGACCAGCTGATTTATAATTGAACAGAGAAGGCAAATGCATTCTTAGAATTGGCTAGCAGGGTTGTTGAACAAGTAAAAAAATTAAGGTAAGCACAACCTTTTTTATGTCAATAATCTTCATATGTGTCTAACATTCTTGAATGTTGTGTGATTTTAATAATACTTTGTTGTAATACTGACATTTAAAAAGTTTATATTTATTCTGCACAGATTTATCTTTAGTTTTGTACATTATATGTCCCGATACAGCCAATACTTTTTCTTCAGGAAGGTTTTATCTTTGTCATGTTGCAGTAACAATATTCTGCTCAATACTTTTCTGTCCAAACCCCAGACAAAATGTGGTCCTGAAAGAGTTAAAAAAGTGGTTGGCATTCTGTACTGTGGTCTGCAGCAAGATTGTGATGTCTGTGCCTTTCATTCAAACACATCTGTTTTCAGCAAACCCTTTATTAGCCCCTTTAACAAAAATGCTTCTTCAGGGATAGTTCGCGTGCCCCCCACCCCCCAAATAGGGCTCTAACATTTTCTTCCCCCCTTCCCCCATGAAGGAAGGACTGACAGATTCAGTAGTGTAGCACATAATGTTTTAGTGCAGTGATTTCCAAACTGTGATCCGCGGCGCCCCGGGGAGCCGCGACCTTTTCACAGGGGCGCGGTGAAATATTTTAAGATACATGAGTTTTATTTTAATCTCTTACATACAAATAGTCATACTTTTACTTAGGTTAGGATGCCGTGGAAAAATTTCAATTGAAAAAAAAAGGCGCTGTGCCTAAGAAAAGTTTAGGAAACACTGAATCAAAAAACCTGAGGTTCATATTTATTCTGTTAGATATTTTACTAAATGTTCAGTTTAATATCGTCTTGCCCCTTATGAAAATTTATACTTGAAATGAAATATATTTTATTTTACAGATCTTATTTCTGATCTATTGAACATTCATTTTGATATTATCATGGATATTATTACAAAATCTGCATAAAATTTATACAAATCTATTGCCTTAAATGTTGCAGTTTATCAAACACACAATATGATATTAATTCATCACTAAAAATATGTGCTCTGAAATAAGCATATTCTGTTTTCTTACTCTATCTTATTTGATCACCAGAATCAGATTAAGGCAGTGTTCTGCTAGATCCATCCATATAGCTAAACCATTCAGGTTTTATCTCTCTGCTTTTCCCTTGCCCTTTTTCCATCACACTTACTAGTTATCACCATGTTCTCAAGTTAACCCCAAATGAATTAAGAATCAAAATCACAGCACTCAGCACACTCCCATAAGTGCTCAGTTCCCATCTTCAGCAGCAAGTGAAGAGTTCCAATTCAGATGGTACCAGTAACCAAGCTTATCCTCTTCTTATAACATGTCCACACAGAAAAAACTGACTTGTCTATGTCCCAATTTCTCTAATTTCTCAGTTTACAGTATGTAGTTATTAAGTAAGTGACCTTTTTTAGGAGACTGGTGCGAGCCCATAATTTTATGACCAAATGGCAATTGATGAATGATGTGACCAGCATTACTCTGAGGAATTCTACTTCCCAAGACATTTCCTGGTACCCATTTTAGCCTGGATGGACCTGGGAAAATAAGTCAGTTAAAATATTTCCAATATAATATTGTTTTGTACAATATTATAAAGTCATCAGGTTGCGACGAAATACCAGCAGAACTTATTAAAGCAGGAGGAAAGGCCAGCGTCCAAATCTACCATGCACTGCGCATGAAGATCTGGAACAGTGGCATTTGGCCTAAAGCTTAGAATAAAAAAATCTATATCCCTCTACCAAAGAAAGGAAATCTTAAACTACCATACTTTGCTACCAGATGACACAGTTCTCCTTTCGAACAGCATAAAGGGAATAGAAAATTTAATATTGTCTGCCCAAAAGCACAGTGAAGATCAAAATCTGTTCTTGAATCTAGAGAAAATGAAAATAATGTCCACAGATAAAACTGGATGTCACCCAAAAAATAAAAATAAATAATAAAGAAATTGAAAATTTCACAAACTGTGAATATCTAGGCTCTGTGATAAATAGCTATGGAGATTGTTTGACAGAAATTAAAAGAAGGGTGGCCATAGCAATGCAAACATTAAACAGCCTTAAAAGTCTATGGTTAAGAACCAGCAAGATCAGAATCAGAATTCTGAGAGCATGCATCTTCCCTATAGCAACATACAGATGTAGAGTCATGGACTATCTCCCAGTCCTTAACCCTACCAGACAAACGAGTGGCTAGAATACGATGAAACTTGGAGACATTGTAGAAAATAGGCTTACCTTTTATCTAGCGCCAATATTTTACCTTTGTGTACAAATCCACTCATTAGGATCAACTTTGTTTCACAAAGTGAACACCAGATGTTGCCGTTTGAGGGACACACACCCTTCTCCTACTATCGATCTATTTCAAGATT